GTATTCAGCATTTTCATTAAGAAACTCATAAGAGAGTTACCAAATCAAATATGAAAAACAATTTTATCCCGGATGTGTCTTACTATTATCAGGTATGTATGTTATATAGGCTTTTTTGCATATGCGCGCGCGCATGTGTACCCACGTATACACATGCACGCGTAATCGCGCGTGTGCACACAACACACACACACACACACACATACAAACGTTTTTGCATTTGTAGATTCCAAAGAAAACATCAAAGAATTGATGGATAAGAAAAGATCGCAATCTGTTCCCTCGCATTTGTTGATGTCTGCACCTGAAACTAATTCTGATACCGATAATCCTATTGAACGGTTGAAAAGTTCATCATCACCAAGTACCGAAAATGTAAGTTGACGTGTATCTTGCCTTAAAAAATTTTGTTTAATAACTATTTCTGGCACCATTTCCTATATCTCTTGATGCTCTTAAATGTTTCATAAAATATAAAGTCTATCTGTGGGTTGCAAAAAATACCGAGTTAAACGACTGTAACTTGCTGTTTATTGTATTAAAATATAAACCATCCCTAATTTTTTTATGTTTGCTGTTTAGTTTTACCATACACTTCTACAGTCCCTTAGATTAGACTAACTGTCAAACGTATGAAATCTTTTCAAGTCACTCTCAAAATGCTATTAATCTAAAATTAAAATTATAATTAACTATTTACTATTTTTACTATTTACTATTTACTGTTTTTAGTAAAAATAGTACTTAATACAATGGATGTCTCATCAGAAACTGATAGTGGTGAGATTAAGCTATATCCAGAAGTACAACCAAAGAAAGTTAAACGATATAATGCAGGACTGTATAAAAATTACGACACTTATAGAGATAAGCTATGTTTTCGAACCATATCAAAGTGGGATACTTTAGGTCAGAAACAACATATAACATCAGGTAAGAAAAAATATATTTTCTAATATCTGGCTATAGCATATAAGTAATATATAAGCATATAAGTGATATATAAACAGGCGCAATTATTATGAACAATAATTTTGTTAAAAATTTGATTAAAATAAAAAAAAGAGTATAATACAGTACAATACTAAAAAATATGTGTCTATGTATGTAAAATTACTGGTTAATAGGTTTGTCAGTTATAGAATGAAACACTATAAAAATTGGAGTGTTTTTAATTATTTCTTTTATGTGTGTGTTTCACAGAAAAAGTAAATGATCAAACTGAACTGCAACGTAATACATATGATAATCGAAGTACTGCAAAAAATGGAAAAATAGTTGAAAGTAAAAGCAGCTGTAATAATGATGACGTAAATCATATTCAATTGAAATATTCAGAACATGATTGTAATAACCTCGAAAATATAAGTGAGTATATATATTGTAACATATTTGGTTATATTAAAAAGTCTTTTTCCTGATTTATTTAACATAGTAGGCAATCTTTTAGTATATCATTTATAACAGTTTTCATTAATAATAAATTTTCATTAATAATAATAATTGCTATATGTATAAAGACGAATATTTTATTCCAAATAAGTTACACTTTGTTCTAGTTGTCTCAAAGTATATAAAGCATTTTGCCATTTACTCTCTCAAAAAATTTGCATGGTTTAACAGCTGCAAATCTTCGTATTTTTCCTTTCTTGTATCTTCTTTCCCCCTCTCTGTCTCTGTCTGTCTGTCTCTCTTTCTCTCTCCCGTCTTTCTCCTCCTCTCTTTCTCTCCCCCCTCTCTAAACACACACGCACACGCATACGTATTACGTACATAATTGATACATTACTACAATATATTACTTACTTGTCTTCGTCTTTCTCCTTTCTCCTTTTTCTCTCTTCTTTTCCTTTTCTTTTTTTTCCTCTATTTATTTCCTCTCTTCTTATTCTTATCCCCTCTCCCATTCTCCCTCTCTCTCTCTTCTCTCTTTCTCTCTCCCTCCCCTCTCTTTAAACACACATGCACTGCACACACGTACATAGCATATTCGCTTTTTGCTATTTTTCTCTCTCTCTCTCTCTCTCTCCTCCTCCTCCTCCTCCTCCTCTCCTCCTCTCTTCCTCCCTCCCTCCCTTCCTCACCCCTCTCTATTACACACACGCGTACATATCACGCACATAATTCATACATTACAATATATTACTTGTTTTCCTTTTTCTCTTTTCTTCTCTCTTCTTTTCCTCTTCTTTTCCTCTTCTTTTCCTTTTTCTTTTCTTTTCTTCTCTTCTCTCTATTTCCTCTCTTCTTTTTTTTATATTTTTACACTTTCTTTATTCTTTATAACCCGTCAACCGTCGCAAGTTGTCAAAATTCGCACGTATCGTATCGCAAGCGATACGTTATAACATATTGCATCGCGGAAAAGTAGCAACAATACTCGCGACCAAGAACGCACTTCTCGGTCTATATGACTTTTTTCATTAGGGAAAAAGATTCACAGTTGAAACATTTATTTAATGAAGCATTTATACATATATATCCCTGATACTGAAAGCGTCTGATTAAATAATTAAATTTACATAAAATTAATTTAATATTTTTAACAAATACATTGCATATACTTTTTAGATGATATTACATGTGATGAAATCAATCACAGCTTTGTTGATGATCAGAATAGCAAATCAAATAGTGATGAAAATGGAAGTAGTGACAGCGAATCTATAAGGTACTTGAAAAATAATTTTTCTCTTGGTTTTACTGTTATGTTTTCCTGAATAAAGTGATTGAATAGTAAAAACAATAAATTGTTTAAAAATTGACAAAAACGGTACATTATTGATAGAAAAATTACAATGAAATTCTTTGTACGTTTACATTTTCCCATATTTATGGGAGGCTACAAACTTATATAGTTTTACTCTTTCTCACCTTTAGTAGTAAGCACTGTCAATATGAAATGTATGAGAGGTCAATCCCATACAGCACACAAATGCTGAATCAACATCTCAGAAACGTTCCATTACAACATTGCAATATTGCATCAATTTTACGAAATGTAGATTCAACGTTGAAAAGATATTGCAAAAACGTTTAATGTCCGCTGAATTGTAATGTCATCTAAATGTTACAATTCAACATTCAGAAAACATTGTTAAATTATATCGAGTTAATATTGGTCGAGTGCAGCAGAATATTTTTTACAACGGTTAGAAGTGCTGAAATTGAATTATTCCAATAAAATAATAATTAAATCGTAGCTCAGAAAATTTTTGACCGTTGCAAAAATATTATATATACA